GCAGGACAACCAGGGCCAACACTATACACACAGACTCCAGCACACTACTAATGATGTTACAGGCTTGGTAGATGTTCCACCCCCGTGGAAGTTTTGCCATTGATTTTGGTGAGTGTTCCCCTGGTCTTAGGTAATAACCATTGGTTTCTCAATTTAGGGACAAAGTCTCTCTCTTATATACTTGATTTCATGTTAGACTAATTATGAGAAAAAAGCAAAGACATGAAAAGACTGTCCCTGATATGAGGACTCACTCCTACAAACCCTTACTCAAGTCAGCAATCCCACCAGCTTCAATGAGAAGACACAGGCCAGGAAGGGCAGCCTTGATTTTCACAGTTGCCACCTCGTAACTGAAGCCCACGCACAAGGAGAAGTAACAGCCCCAACACCAGCCTGCGCTGATGGAAGCAAATCTCCTGGTGATGCATCGGTAACAACATTTTAATGTTTCCTTTATATCTCTTTGTTAAAGCCAATACAGTACTTTCTTACCATTTTTGCAGACAGGACAACACTGTTCTGGTTCATAGACTGGGTTGACACACTCGGGAACTGCGCAGTCTGCTACAACACAGTGAACTTCATTGCTGGGCTCGCAGCGACACCATTCGCATGGCGAGGGCTAGGAACAAATCTAAAATTAGCCCATTTCCTACCGTAGCTCACAAGTTTGCAACATTTCTATCTTGCCATAAGATAAACACATCAGCGTTTAATACCTCTTGACTGCATTCATTCAGCATGGGTAATACAAATTAACCTAATAGGACAAAATAGCAACATCTGAAATAGGCAACCAGAACATTGGAAAAAACAATGAGCATGACACTTGCTTTCCCAGAGAGGGTGTGGGGTTTTTTAGCTTTCAGGAGACTTTAGGTCCCTTTGTGAAAAAGACCGAGCTGAAGCCACTAGGTCGTACCTCTGCTCTACCCATCTGTTGTTATCTTACACATTTACTGGGAGCAGAGCAGGATTTTTGGAAGGTCACGAGTGGTGGTTCATCCCAGGAAGAGAGGACAGGGTGATTTCCCAGGTCATACTCATATCTCACGTGGACCACTACTTCCAGCAACCCCCAAGAAGTCGGTAAGGTGCTGCTGGGGCGGCCTATCCATCTGCCAGCCTCTGGATGTGCTCTTATTCTCGCTTTTCAGCATGGAGGCCAACAGTGGTGTTCTTGGAGGGGCAAAACCACTTTCTTCTGCGTTTGTGCAGCACCTGCATCAGGGCTCTGTAAGCACTCCCATAACATAACCATTAGATCTGGCCCTGGCCCCACTCCTGCCTATTTCAACACGGTTTGTGAGCAACTGCCTCACACAGAATATATAAATAATTAAGAGCCTGAATAATTCTGCTGAAGTCAGGGAGTTCTGGATTAAAACACCCAGCTAAGTGGTTTCATTTCAGCTCCATCAATTCAAACAGGAATCTCTCTCTACCTCCAAATAGTAGAGCGTTGTCACTGTCTCGCCCTCTGAAAAGCTGTAGAACTCTGTTGAAAAATAGGAAGATCAGTGTTTTAAGGTTTCCAGTGTCCTTATGTGTGTGCAAGTGTGACGAAAGCATGACAACAGAGCTAAGAAAGGAGAATAAGAGGAGAATTTGAAAGGAAAATAGCTTCCTTTCAGTACCCACAGGTTCAATACATAACTCCCAATTCCTCAGCAACAGTTGATCCATCACTAACACTTGAATGAGTAAATGTGGGCATTGGAAAAAATTCTGCTTTCTGTTGCATTGGTGGGAATCTGCAGCAATGGATCTTTTTCCATATTAAAAAAAAAAAAAAAGAAGAGTGAGATGCAAAGGAAAGGATTCATCCCCATGTGTTTCAGAGTCCAGTGATGTGTCACTCATTTCTACAAGACAGATACAACCTGTGAGGCCTGGTTCTGGCAGGTAAAAAGCTTTTCAGTTCACCTCTAAGAAGCTCCATATGTCTTGAGTCAAATAATTTATTCCCAGGAAATTCATTTCTACCTTAAAATGCACTAATTAAAGCTTCTCTTGCTTTGTCTCAGCATCTGCAGTCTATAATTCCCATCACCTCTCATTTGCTCACGGCTTTGGCAATTTAGATAAAATCAGCACTCCTTGAGCAAGGGAAGAAGTCTGTGGAGGTGGAATTCCTCTAATTATCTTTCCTCGTTCAATCCTGCTTTGATTTCTGTCTGACGTTTGAATCTAAATTCATTTGACTGACATTTCTTATTCAAGGCTATTTAATAAGAAGAAACAATACAGAAGAAAACAGACAGAACTATTTGCTGAGGGATCAATAAGAAAATTGCTGCTTTGTTTTTACTCATTTTAATCGCTAATTATACGGAGCAGTAGAACTTGATCTCGTGATTTGTGGAGGCTCTCACTGACGTATCCTTCAGGACTTGTCCCCATCTTCACTACTCCAGTGGCTGCAACACTAAGAAATACGTGATGCGTTCCCAGGACTGCAGCCCAATCTACTGCTTAAAGATGATCAACACAAGTAGAAGATGCCCCTGAACGACTCTGCAACTGAGTAAATGAGACATGACATACACATCTTTTGCTTTTGCGTTGTTGGTGTAACCTGAAAATGACACTGTAATAAACCATGATGTTGCTTGACACTGAAAGCAGCTTTGCTAGAGGGAAGAACCGCACACAAAGAAGGAAAGCACACCTCAATGGTACAAGGAACGAGAAGCCAGCAAATGAAAAGGCTGCTTTGGCACGAATGACAAGACTTTTCACAGCCACCTCCCCTTTCCCATCTTATCAAGTTCAAGGTACCTGGCCTAGCCTCCAGGATCTTCCTCTATCTGACGGTTTGGTTCACTTGCCAGTGCCCCTCACTGTGGCTCTTACCCAGCCCCTCACCTCCACGGGTGACTCCAGCCTTCCTGCCCGCTTATTTTATGAATGTCTAGGTACTTTCTCCCATAAGATGTGCTCTGGGATCTGATTTGCAAACACCTGCCCTTTCAGAAAGGATTTTGCCCCAAGCACAGTGATTGAGCATCTTCTGCTCAATGTTGTCTGTGGGCTCTGCATCCCAGCTATTGATTTCCCTGGGGGTACCCTTCTTGTATAGGACAACTATAGGACATTGGCCCAAAAAGATCTCTATTTATCTACATAGGCAGTAGGTAGACCAAGCGGTGGAATGATGAACTGGGAATCAGTGAAGAACAGTGAACCAGTGAAAAATGTCCCAAAGATTTGTTTCCTGATTCCTGATTTAAAAATTTATCCCCCGTGGAAGAGGGGTGGTTTACACTTTTGTAGCCACTGAAGTTCAAACACGGGCTAACACCGGTTCCTGAAAAGAAACTCTGATCCCTACTGAAAAACAAGGTTGAAAAAACACTTCTGAAGTATGAAGGAGAGAGGACACAAATCAGAGGCTATGCCATTCCCACATGGACAGCGCAAACGTTTTACTGGTGTCCCTTAAACTGATATTCTGGAAAAAGTGTTAAGATTAAAGGATCGTAAAAGGCTTGGCCAAGAAGATGATTTACTCACTCCACCTGTCCAAGGTAGAATAATCTCTTAGAAGACTTTGCAGCAAAGGATTTGCTAGGAAGGATTTCAAGAGATATCGGTGTGGGAACATTCTTCTCACCATTGTCCAAAAGGAAAGGACGTTCATGGTGCCCAGCCACAACACAGACACGTACCCACCCAAGAACTGCGTGGTTCCTTTCTGTTCGAGGCATGTTTTAAGCAATGGATCTATCATAAAACCAGGGGAGTGCAGTGGGTCCTTTTGTACAGTACAGCATTTTGACTTGGGAAAACTGGTACAAAACACCTGATTTTTTTTTTTTTTTACCCAATTTTCACTTACAATAGGGCTGACAGCAGAACTAGTCAGGAAATACATTCTTTGATGTTATTGTCAGTGCAAGGGCCAAGTCACGCCAAGTTGGTGGGAAGCAGACGTGGCCAAAATCTAACCACCATTTGAGAGAACAGATGAAGTGGGACACAGAGAACAAAGGACCTTCTCAAGCTCAGCACTGATCCTGCTTGACCTCTCCTTCTGCCAGTCACTTCAAAGAGACCAAAGAATCACAAGGATTTGGACCCTAAACACCCCCGTTTATAACCACACCTGAGATCATGGCCCAACTCCTATCTTTCTTCTGTTCTACTGATCTCAAGGAGGACCGTGACCCCAGGTTTGGCTGGGAGGGCAAGTTCATTCCCTGCTTCTACCAGGGTATGGCCTTGTCCCACATAGTGGGGCAGTCGGAGGAAGGAGCCAGCACTCATCTGGTTGAGTGGCTGGAAAACCTTAGCCTCAGGTGCTGTCAAATGAGAAACATCTGCAATCAGCAGAGTTTATTAACAAAGAAAGAAGGAAGGAAAATTGAAACAGAGAATAGAGAATTCGCATGGCTAATAAAGATTTTATGTGCACGAGCACATAATGATAAAGTTGATAGATGATATAAACAAACAAACGAAAAAGGCAGCAAAGGAAACAGAATGAGAAACAAGATACACCCTGAGCAGGGGAAATGAGGACACCAAACCAGATGTGGATACTGTATCTCCTAATCTTCACTCTCGCTCCCATATACACACCAGCTCCCCACCATTTTCACCCTCTCTTTGGAAGCAAACATCCGCACATGTAGGAATTACGCTGCTAACATCATCCGGCTACTCCTCACAGTGATAAGGGGCTCCCTCTCTTAAAGGGGTTGGGCAACAGGTGGGTCCTTCTTTAGGTTTCATACAGACATTTCATGCCTCTGACAGGTCTACACTCGGAGGGCTCCAGCAGAGCCTCAAGTCATCCAGAAGGACTGGTGGGTAGACAGAGAGGTTGCATGATCAAACAGTTCTTCAGGAAAATAGCCTGACTCTTCCCAAACTTAAAGGAAAGGTGGAAAAAAGAAAATGGAAAATTGAATTAAAATCTCAGTGTCTAAATCTACTCTTTTATGCTTTTGTACAGCTGAAGAGATCTGAATCAAACTGGTTTTTTTAGACCAAGGCACCTGGTACAATCACACAAATAACTGACACACAAAACTTCAAGTTTTTAGGCAAGATCTTGCTTTACTTGCGACATCTCATTTAATTATAGAAACTCTTGTTGCACTGAACTTCACCTGTATTTCACCCTTTGCTCGTCTTGTCCACAACTACAGCACCCTAAGCCACCTCTCTGCTGCCCCAAATATGTGAAAGATTTTTCTGTAACATGCAGATTGCCCTGCAAGAGCTTATTACTGAGTAGTGGGTATTCTCCTGCATGAATGGAGGAAGCATATATATATATATATGAAGATTATTCCGCAGCCCTCCTCTTCCCTGCCTCCAATAAGGATCTCTCCGTCTATACCTCTGCTTGTCACTCACTCTCAGCTGCTGCTACATAAACATCTCTAGAGAGGTGGAAAGGGAGTGATTTACCTAAGACAAACAAAAAACTCTGAAGATGACATCTGATTGATACTTTTTCTTTACCTGTTTGTTCTGTCAATCAGAAGCAATTTTCCTCAGAGTTTTTGCTCTGCTGTCACATTCACCAGGCTAACCGTGGTTTCCAAGCACACTCATTTCAGTCCTATACGTGGGCTGTCACCCAGCTCAGGAGAGGTCTCAGGTCAAGTG